ATTCATCACGCACATGAATTAGCAAGGGTTCACGCAGATCATAGGTGCCACTTCCAAATTAGGAAGGTCCTGTATATAGGATTTTCCTATATTTTACACAATTATACTTTAATAAAAATAAACTTCAACTTGGGAAAAAAAAAAAATTTTTATTTTTGATGATCTGCAAGTGTATTAATAATGACACAGTCAAAAAAGTTTTTGTCCGCACTTTTAGAAAACAATGATTACTACAACTATACTCTCAGTGGTATCAATAGACCATTTGTTACTTTAACTTATGCACAGAGCCTTGATGGCAAAATTTCAGGAATTAATGGTAAACAATTACAATTAAGTGGTGAAGAATCGATGATGATGACACATAGGTTGAAACAAAATAAAAGAATTAATGAATGGTTAAATGAATAAATATTTAGAGTTTTTATATATATTTCTGTTTTTATGATTAGGATGAGAACACTGCATGATGGAATATTGGTTGGAATTGGAACTGTATTAAATGATGATCCAAAACTAACAGGTTAATTCTAACAAAATAGTCCTGATATATAATTTGTCAGTTAATTGATAAATGAATTATAGTGTATGGATGATGATTGTTTTTTTAATTTAGCAAGATTGTTGGAGCCTGATATGGAGACCACAATTCAACAACCACAACCAATAATTCTTGACTCAAGTTTAAGATTTCCTTTAACATCAAAGCTACTACAACAATCTCATTATCAAGGATTTAAAAAACCATGGATTTTTACTAAAAATTTACATGATTCAAATAAAAAAAAGGTATAAATTTGAAATTTTATGATATTTATGAATGAATTTAAAGAGTTATTATTATTATCATCATTAGATTTTAGAACAAGAAGGTGCAAAAGTTATAACAATTAATACAGACGAAAGTGGTAATATAATGAAAATTGTTTGGTTAATTGTTTATTATATTTACATATAAAATATTTATTTATTTATTAGGAAAACTTTCGATTGTTCATTTATTAGAAGAATTAAATAAATTATCAATTAAAAGATTAATGGTTGAAGGCGGAGCAAAAATAATCCAATCATTTCTAAAAATAAATCTTTTAGATTTAATAATTGTTACTATTGCACCAATCTATATTGGGTTTAATAGTGTCTCAGTTACAGGAAGTAGTGAAGGTCAAGATGAAGAAGATTTAAAAGTAAGATTTAATTGTAACATGTAATTTTTTAATAATATTATATATATATATATTAATTTTTTTATTAATAGAATAAAAAAATAGTTGAAAAAAATTTTCCTAAATTAATCAATGTAAAATATGAAATACTTGGTAAAGATATTATAATGACAGCAAATACGGAAAAATAATGATTTTTGAAAATAAATTTTATTTTAATGCAAATTAATTCATGTGAATGAAATCTTTTTAGATAACTTTTATTTAAAAAATATCTGATATTAAAAACAAATGGTGTTGGGAATTTACAACTATAAAACATCTGATAGCACAAGTAACTGTCTCAAATACATGTATAATTAAGGCTCTGCATGAGCTGGCATGCAAGGAACTTTATGTGTAATATTGAAAAATCACCAACTGGGTCTACTAAAACTTTAACCAAATCTAGAAGTAAACAGCTCCAATTAATACACCATCTGAATTCATCATTATCATTTATTTACAAGCACATCAACATCACATTTAGTGTTCCATGTCGCAATCCAAAAAAGGAAACAAAATGGTTGTAAAGGTGGTTGCAACCAGTGGTTGCAATCGTTTTTATATGACGCAAAGATGGTAGCAACCATCATCAAAAGTTGCAGCCGGTATCCTTAATCACATTACATATATATATATTCGCCCAGGTTGTCATTTTCATTTTATAAAAACTAAAAATGTTCCACACAACTAATTATGCATATGACATAGTTTAGGTTATGCCATTTCTATTGAAAGGCTCCATACATGTTACTAATAAAAAAAATTTGGCTGTTACTCTTGAAAAAACCCATTTTTATATTATTAATTGGAAAGGATGGGTTAGTTTCATACATGTTGCTGGCGATAAATATGATCTTTACTATTGAGACAAAGTCAATTTTTTCTGAAACTCTCAAAAATAAAATAAAAAAGATTTTTATTTATTTGTTTCAAACAATAAATTAACTAAAAAGTGTACATAATTTAAACTGTCTAAAGTACCAATTATATATAATAATAACAACAACAATAATAACCATTTATTTCTTTAAAAAAAGGTAAATCTAAAGTAAAGAAATCTAAAAATTCAAGAAAAATTCTTCATTTTTAATGATACCTTGTTTATTATAGTATTGAATAGCTTTTAAATGTTCAAATGTAAAATCCCGTTCATCATTTGACATTTTACAAACATCTAACCAAAGTTTGATATTAGAAAGTTGACAATATTCTAGGAACTTGCATAATTTGTTTATAGAAAATTTCCATTCACCATCTAATTTGATTCTATTTAAACTTTTTGGTCGAGTTGAAAATAATAAATCAAATAATAAATCACCATCAATCTTTGGTTCGTTTACTCCTCTGATTAAAATTGATTTTAAATTTTTACAATTTTGAAATATTTGTTTAAAATTCTTTAATGATGAAGATATATTATTACTATCATGACTATTTTCTTCTTCATTTAGACTTCTCCCGTCATCACCATCAGCTGCAGTGTTGGTGTTATTGATGAAACACCAAGTAGTTAGAAATTCCAAGCTTGGACAAAATTTACTAATTACCTGATTAAAATTGTTGATATTTTCTGGATCTGGAACATACCAATAATTCAAATAAATTTTTCTTAGACTGTAATTTGTATTTAAGATAAGATTTGATAATATTTCAAGAGGTAAAGGTTCAGTTTCTAAATAAATAATTTTTAAATTTTTGAAATGTGCAAATTCTAATTCTTGTATAATATCATTAATAGAATCTCTATTTAACCAAAATTTCAAAGTTTCTAAATTTGATAATTGAGATATAGTGTTTAGTAGTAAACATAATTCACCACCACCATAACCAAATTCAAATATGGAATCTTTCTTTTTGATAATAGCTTTGGATATCTTAAAACATTTTTCATTTGAGTCAAATCTATCCCAATTTGAACACTCAACAAATTTTAAATTTGATTGGTTTTCAATTAAATTCGCCAGACCCTCATTATCATTGTTACAATGATCTATAATAATTTTTTGTAAACTTTTACAAAATTTTGAAAGTTCTGAGAATATTTCAGATTTCAATTGAGCCTCACATCTTAATTCAACTAGATTTGACAAGCTAGTATTTGCACCTGGAAACCAAGGAATTAAAATGTCTGATTCTCTCAAATGCAAATATTTAAAAGTTGAACATTTACTTATAAACATTTTATAAATTTCTTGTTTTAAAAGTTTCTTCATATCCTTTAGACTGATTAAAGATGGTGGTGGTGATGATGATGAAGGTGGTGATGATGCAGTGTTCCTATTATCATTTAATGATAATAAATTTTCTTTTCCAATAGCTGAATCAACCATATAATTTATATGATACGAAGGTAAATTTCTACAATATCTTGCATAATCAAACAATGGAGATCTATTCGTAGGTTTTTTTATGATGATTCCACTTGAAATTAAATAATTCTTTGAATCATTTGAGAAACAAGAAATCAATGTTGATAAAATCGAAGATTCTTTATTATTCTTACAATAATGTCTACAAAATTTCCAAGTATCTTTCCATAATATTTCTACTGCAATATGACACCATAATTTATTTACAAAAAGACAAGAATGTAATGATTTCATGTCATCTTGTAATATTTCTATAATTTCTCTTAAACACTCTACTGGTAATTCTGAATTCATTTTAAAAAAATAGGAAAGAAAATATTTTTTATTGTTATATTTATTTATATATATTTTTTTTAATGTAATCCATTTATTTGTATTACATTAATCACTATTAATGTTACTGCACCCATGTATCCCGCTTTGAAAGTTCCTTCTAAAAAAAACGCAAGTGAATTCTAAGATACTTTACTGTTACAGAAACTTGCACTTCGCAAACATAGGCGTAGCCTATTGGTTATAAAAATGCGGGGGAAATTATTAACAGTGGGAACTATCAGCCAGCAATACAGTCTGGGATTATACCATAAATGGAAATCATTCTAGAATGATTTACAGTCACACCTCGAAATTTAATTGGCCTTTGACGATCTTTTCTGCAAAAAAAATCATGCCATTTTTGTAAGCCCAAAGAAGGTATTATTTTTATAGTACCAATAGGCTCGCCTAAATACACAGTTTAATAATCCACTTTAATCTACAAAGGTTTACATATTGGTTTTTTTTTCAATAAGAGACATACTTTGGCTTGAATTTTTACTCTTTTTGTGTATAGAAATTATTCAAATTCCTACAATGTCAAATAAAGACAACCAGCCAAATCTTTGCCATGTTTGTTTAAAGACATATTTGATAAATATTCAGAGAGCCAATTACAACTATGTAAAACTGTCTTGCAAACATGGAGGCGCACATCTGCAGTTGAAAGAGTAAATAAGTAAAATGAACCAAATAATTCATCATGGCAATTTTACTATTGAGTCTATTTTTAGGAAATTATTCATCATTTTAAATCCAGATCTATTATCTCTAGGTAAAAAATATTAAAATAATTCATTATGGCAAATGCAACTGAATGACTATATTAATATAATCAACCAGAATTAGGCTACTAAATTTTTATTAACAATATATAGAACTTCTATATTGAAAATTCAATCGGGGTGTATCACGTTACATCGAATTTCCATGTGCACGGAAATATATTTTTTTTTTACCAAATTAATAGAGATGTTAATCAGTCCCAGAAAAAGTCCTAGAAAAGTCCCAAAAAGTCCTCAACCTTTTTTCAAACAGTATATTTATTATATATTTTTATTATATTAATTGCCGATCCTTTTATAATCAGCAGAAAATTTCCAAAAATTAATAAAAAATTTTGGTTAAGATAAATATAAGTTTTAATATAAATTTAAAATCTCAAAAGAACCAATATTAAATTCATTTCCTAATGTCAAAAACGCGTTTTATTCCTGTTACTCTTTTAAATAAAGGTGCTTTAATAAGTGAATTACATTATGGACCATTTTCACGTTATTGGTGGCAGTCTTCTGATAATGAAAAAGTGTTTCCTATTCGCATTGGACAAAGAATAGTAACTAATCTGAATGGGCATGACTTTTACGTTGAAATAGTTCACGGGAATAAAGAAAACTGTCATCTTCCAGGTTACATTTGTGAAACTAAGACTGCTCGTAGTGCTAAAGAAACAAGCCCCACAAATGCAATTTCTAGTATATATCAACTAATGTTTGATAATGTGGCGACTAAATTTTCTGGTCCACAAGTTATGGGATGGAATGATGAAGAAATTGTCAATAAGCTTTCGATTATTGAATCTTTTTGTCCTTTTTATATTTTTTTAGGTGATTTGAAAATTTTCATCCACTCAATAGGACGTTCGGAGGAACAACATTTAAAAAATGGAGGGACTGGTTATCAATCATCACTTATTTATAAATACAAACAAAAGCAATCATTATTTGTTTCAACAATAGAAGATGATGTTTGTATTATCAAAATTTACCATGAACATGAGATTATAGATTCATTCGAAGATACATCACCAATTGAAGTTTGGAAAAAAACTAACTATATTCAAAAATATGATGGCTATCAACTCTTTGGTTTAGATAATATTATTGTTCAAGATTTTATTAAAAAATATAAAGTTCCAAAATGTACACCAGATGAATGGGATAATTTTTCACTTATGAAAAATCTTTATGACTACAATTTGAAGAGAAGGGCTTTTGCCAATATAGAATGGCATAAATTTTTTACTAATTGGTTGGAGAAGGAAAGTACAGTGATTGAATTGTTTTCTCAGCTTGAAATAATTTACCAAAAAAATTATGCTCTATATATCACCTAATATTAAGAGGAAGATTTTAATAATCACATTACTAAATTTTGACCCTGAAATATTTGGTAATACCAATGTTCACTTTGTCTGGTTTTGTTACAGTATGCCCCATTTAAGAGTTGTGCTAATTTTTTGAGCCAAGAAGTGGACGAAAATATCAATTTAACAGATAATGAGGATGATGATGATAGCGTAAAAAATAAACTACATAAAGCTATAGTAGATTTTAGTAAAGAAAATTAACACCCTTCAATTCTTAAAGTACATATAAAGTGGTGATAGAAACACATCTTTGTCATTAATTTATCACGTGATTAATAGTGCAAACAAAATATTATTGATGCTTCCAATCTTCCAATGGAACATACTGTTACATTATCTCATTATTGAAATTTCATACAAAAGACCCATTCAATCAAAGTTACTTTTGAGTGTGTGGTACGACGAGATATACTTTTTTTTTTTTACAAAAACTTTCTGATGATAAACTCGTGTGACCTTGCAAATCATATAATAATAATAATTTGAGAGCATACGTAATATTACAAAATTAGACGTGTACTCCTTCCTATTCAAGCTATATTTTTAAACGTTTCATTATATACTACTCTTTTTTTTTTCTAGCAAAAAAAGTAAAATCTCCAACATGTTAACTAACGGCATGACATTCAGAAAAAATTAAAATAGTCATAGTCAATACACAGAGTTCTCTGGCGTAAAAGAAAGTCAGTAGTACTAGTATAAAGTTTGATATTTTCTTTGTTTGTTTTTTGATTATGGTGCATAGAAAGATACATGTGAATGCAGCATGTTTTTATTCAGTCCATTCACAAAATAAATAAGAATGAAAAGGTAATTGATGATCTCATAGCACAACAATAAATAAACTTTATTAAAACTTTTATTGTACATACCAATCATGATTAAAAAATAACAAACTATATATATAACTTATATTTTCTATCAATCATTTTCATCTTTTCAAATCTTCCATTTCTTTTCTATATTCAACATTTACGGTAAATTTTTTTTGAATTTGTTTTCAATTGTACCGATATTGTGAATTTATTGGAGGAAAAAACCCGTTATACCAATATCATTAGACCCGTTCTAGACTCGGAAACAGTAATTTAAAAATCCGGATCTTCATAAAAAAATGTGGTTCCCTTTTAATTAGTATATGCTAAATAGAAATGTGCAGTAGTATGCAAATGAGTAAATTCTGTGCATCTTGTAACACTCCCAACATTTTATCATTCTCTGCAGTCTTTCTAACATGTTAAAGGGATCCAAAATCAGAAGAAAAGACACAAATTAGTTGATTATACTAAACAATGATGGATAATTCATACAAAAGCAAAAGAAGAACAAGAAAAGGAGCGGTATACGTAATCCAATCATCTTCCCCAAAGAGAAATGTTGTATATGCAAAGTATGATAAATGCATAATAAATAAAAGAAAAATTAGTTATGTTAGTGATGAACAAATGGATGGAAAAGTTTCATTCCTAGAATTTTTTAAGCCTGCTTACTATAAAAACTTTTCAACCAAATTAGCAAAACATACCTGACGACTTTAAAATCCCAACTTTTCAATCTGCTTCCAAATTCCAGCATTTCTATTCTATCATAGCAAATTCTTCGCGCGAGAGTTCACTGACTCTTGAAAACTTCAATAACGCCATTCGCATCTTTTGGGTCATAAAGTTTGTATCAACAAATGTAGTGCGAATAAAATAGGTATTGCAATATCAGAGTCAATATTTGGGGAGAAAAGAAGATAATAATAAACAAACCTTTCATGTTTGAATATATATAAGTTTTTCATAGAATCAAATCGTGTGAATTTGAAAATTTATTATAAACTAATACTAAATACATTTGTATTTAAATAAAATTTTTTTTTATATTTATTGTGCGTGAAGATGAATTTGCAATTCAAATTAGCCAATCAGAATTTCATATCAAAACACCCCACCCCAAAATTTTAATTATTTCACATAGTAATAATTTAAAGATAATTATATATCAGGTTTTATCAAATATAGTTGAGGTAAAATAAAAGCTCAGGTTAGTAATTAATTGAAAGGCTGAGTGAGTGAATGAATAATAATCCCACGCCAAAAGGAAAGCATTCATTTTCTGGAACCTGCATTTATTATAATTATCTTCATCCAATCATATTAGTAATGCTAAAAATAAAATTATTTTTTTGCTTTAAATTATATATTGATCGAATTATATATATATATCCATACAATTTATCCTTACATGGTTAAAGTCGATATAATAAATACGATATAAAAGCATATCTTTTTTTTTTGAAAATAAACGCAACTTGCAATTCTAAAAAGATGCATTTTTCATATCACACTGTTTATTCTGTTTTTATCTTGGCATTATTTATTTTTTATAACCCAACGCTATGTCATGAATTGTTCAAGTACACTCCAGAAGAACTTATAGACAGAGACTTATTTCATCTTCAAAAAGCAAGGATCGCCTTTTCTCTTAATATTAAACCCATAACTTATCCCGATAAGTGTGAATTAAAACAATTAAATTTGATCAGTAGACACGGTAATGATTATTTTATTATACATACATGTACAAATTTTGACGCATAAAATAATCTTTTTTAAAATAATTATTAGGATCGAGATATCCAGATCCAGATGATTATGTTGCCTACGGAAAATTGGAAAAAGTATTTGCTAATGTTCCTGTTGCAAAAAATTGGGTAATAAAAATTATTTGTCGTATTTAGCGAATTTATCATTTATTTATTATCTAAAAAATACTTTTTTTTTTTTTTTTTTTTAGTATAAAAATATTTTCCCACCGATTAAGGTATTTCAAATGGTCAAACGAGGAGAACTCGAAATGTTTTACGATGGCTTGCAATCTCGTAAAAGATATTCAAAATTTTGGAAAGGAGTTAAATATGACCCTGAAGTTATAAAATTTCAAAGTTCAGCTACTTCAAGGTACATATTATATATATATATGGTTTTTCGTGTCACATCCTCCATTAAGTCCTACAAGTACCATCATGTTTTGGAATTTCCACTTCTTCTATTCTAATACACATATATAAATACAATATATACTACTATTTAAAGAGCCGGTGCATCGTCAATGGCTTATTCCGAAGGATTATTCAATGGCAAAGGCTCTTTAGACACTTGTAAAAGTCAGCCTGTATACACTTCGTCTATACCAGAGGTATATTTTTTTTACTACGCCATTTATAAAACATTTGTTCAAATCCGTTAACATTATTATTATATAATTCTTATATAGATGCAAGATGGGGTATTGGTACCATGGATTTCCTGCACACGTTGGTTTAACACTGTTTATTCTAATAACAGTTTGTTCGACGAACAAAGTTATATATATGGCAACAATACTCTAGCACCAATTGCTGAGCGTATTTCCAAAGCACACGGTATAAACCCACCTCTTGATCCACGTTTGGTACCATTTATTTTTACTAATTGCCAATTTTATATCGCTGTTTATAATCGAACTGACACATGGTGTACATTGCTGAAACCTGACGAGTTTCTATTAATACGATATTATTGGGATATGCGTGTATATTATTTATTACAATATGGTAATCCTATGAATAGACAAGTGGGCTGTGCCTACATTACTCAACTTGTAAATGAAGTTGATAGTTATTTAAATGGGACATCTCCTACGATAGCTAATCTAAAGTTTGCCCATTCCTATACTATGCTTATGATTTTTACTTCAATGGTACGTGAAAATTTTCACTTTCATTTTTTCGTCTTCCGTTTTTTCATCTTCCGTTTTTTCATCTTCCGTTTTTTGACGATACTATCTTCGATTACAGGGATTATTGAAAGAAGAACGCCCACTCACGGCAGATTTCACCCTTGAAGAAATTAAAAAAGTCAAAAAAACAGAATTTGTAGCACTACACTGGGGCAGCACGTTCTATTTAGAGGTATATACTTGTCCAGAGGGTAAAGCATCAATACGAGCAGTTCTTAATTATAAACCGCTTCTGATTCCTGGTTGTGAAAGCGAGTATTGTGATTGGAAAACGTTTAAACATATTTTCCGTCACTTGATTGGGTGCGATTTTTGGAAACTGTGCGCTTATCCTTAATAGGATTTTGGAAATATGATTTTTTTTTTTTTGGTGTGCTAAACGATTCAGTACACATTGTATTTTTCTCTAACACTATGTAAATTCTCAATATAAATAAAAATAAATTGCAAATACAACTATACATGCAGCCCAAACTGTATTGCTAATGTCCAAAGTTAAAATCTCTAGTCAAAAGATATTGAATTATGACAGTGACGTTAATTACTAAATATTTTGGGAGCATGGTTAAAAAGCACTACTTGTAAAATTGACGTGTCACCACTTGTAAAAAAAATTTGCGCGTATTTTTTTTCTGATCGGAAAAATTTACGCAAATTTATTAGGAAAAATTATAGCTCTGATCTCAACAATAAGACTGCCCAAGTTCCTGATTAAAATACTCTTCTTGATGCTCCTTTTAATCTATTATTGCTATAGAACCTTCTGGCACTAAAGTTTCTCCATTTCCTGACGGCCCTGTTGTTGTATTGTATCTATGTAATTTCCCATTTTCATTTTCTATTAATTCATTCCATCGTACCAAAACTTGTTCTTTAAACGTTACTGACATAATTTGTCCCATTAGATTCCTTGATCTCCAACATGACCCTGAATTCGTTATAATACCTGCATATCTTGTTACTTTTCCAATATCATTTGGTAAACTACTGAAATGAAAATGATAATATTTTGTTATATTTGGAAGACTTCGGAAATGCCCTTCAAATAACAATGTAAAATCATACCAGCTCCA